TGCTCCGTGCACGTCATGTGTGTCATGCACGACAAGTTCATTACGTGGAACTCCTGGCAGGCCGCTCGACAGCAGCCAGTGCCGATGCACGGTACGTGCGTTGACTCACAGTGTCCAGAGCGCATCGGGTCGTGGTATGGTGCATATCCTTTGCACCTATACCAGTGTCTGTCACAGACACCATGTACCTTGATGGTACTCGACCGTGGTGGGGCACATCTCACCACTATGCCACTGCGGCATTGGTGTCTGGCATTGACACCGAGTACTCACGGGTACCAACCCATGGTGAGGCAAGCAGCCATCACCACGGTGTCATGCTCGGCGCGGCACCAGTTACGACTGCGTGCGTTGCCTCGACCACCACCTGGTCAGTTGTGTGTGCACTCGTGCACCACACTTGGGTTATGGCTCCACGGCCCATTATACCCGGCGCGTTGCGTACATCACGTACCGTAACCGCTTTGTCGGCGGGTGAGACGTTCCGTTCACCCTACTCGACAGGTCGTTCATGACCAAGGGACCAGTGCGTTGATTGCACTAGGCCCGCGCTTCGCCTCGTGTGTGGTTGCTTGCAACCCCAACACTGCTGATTCGCTCAGCGATTCCGAGGCACCTTGCGCCAGTGGCTTTCTTCGCCACTATGTCTTGTTCGGCCAGAGCTACCGCAGCTCTAGCCCGGCTGTTCGCCTCCAGCCTGCAGTCGATGTACATCGACGCCTGGTTCCGTAAGGAACCTGGTCTTACCTCAAGACCAGGGAGGAAAGGTATTTTCCGAGCCTCTCCCCCACTTACACTCGAGACTATTGAGTCTCTCGTTGCTTGTGATAGCCACTGACAGCACGACGGCTACCTGCCTCTTGCAAAGTCAGGGAGGAAAGGTATTTCCGAGCCTCTCCCCCACTTAACCTCGAGACTACTGAGTCTCTCGTGGCTTCTAATAGCCACTGGCAGGCGCAACGGCTCTCCGCCATGTGCACTGCGTCGATATGGTCGACCGCGTCGGCCGTGTCGACCGAAGGCATTCAGCCTTCGCGTCAGCAGTTTTGGTCTGCGCGACTTGACGTCGAGCGAGTTGCTCACGTCCGGCGAGGCCAAGACAACCCTCGCGCCTCGAGCCAATGGCTCTGTGTGCGGCGCTATGTTACTCGCCTTGGGTGTGGAACTCTGTTACCCACACCGGAAGCGCATACAGCGACTTCCGTATCAGTTATGGTCTGAGTGACCTTGCGTGGAACTTTGTTACCCACGCTCGGAGCACCGAATGTCGGTCTCCTTAAGCAGCTTCGCTGGTTACGGAACTTGTTACCCGCAGTGTGGACCTATGTTACCCACCTGGTGAATGCCCTTAGGCACCACTACTGTCGAAGCGCATACGGCGCGACGACCTTCGGTGTTGGGATCGGCTGGCGTGGCAAACCCGCCCACACACCGGACAGAGCTGGTGTCCACCGACCGAGTCAGAGGAGTCCGAGCCCTGGACTCCGAGTCGCTTGAAGCGACGTCGGCCTGAACAAGGTTCAGACCCGACTTGCGGCGGCTGACGTGACGTGGCACTTCGTTACCCACGTCGTGATGTCTCGTTGACGACATCAGAGGCACTCGAGACCTCGTGTGGCACTGTGTTACCGACACAGGAAGCATGGACAATGCCTTCCTCTTCAGTTATAGTCTGGGCGACTGCGTGTGGTACTGTGTTACCCACACAGGAAGCGCATTCAGCGCCTTCCTCTTCAGTTAAGGTCTGGGCGACCGTGTGGTCCTAAGTTACCCACCTGGTTAGCGCTTAAAGGCATAACCACTGTCGAAGCCCGTGCGGCGCGACGACCTTCGGCGTTGGACGCTGCTAGTGTAGCAGGTCCACACGCCGGGCAAAGACCCACGCCCGTGGTATCGCCGCAGCGGAGCATGGTCTTGCTGTACGCAGAGCTGTCAGCGCGCTGACAGCTCCGTGACGCTTCTGCGTCCTGGCGGTCTGTATCAGACGCCCCAGTCATGACGGAGGTGGGAACATGACTCACCAATGCTCCGTCATAGACCTGGACTGGTAGGCCCTTCTCAGTCTTGCCACACCAAAGTCCGGGCTGTGCCTTATGTTCGGCACAGCCATGTTGTTCATGGCGAGAACTGTGAGCGACACCGCGGTGCGCGAGTTCATCGAGCCGAAACGTTCAGGTCCGTTGAGGACCATTGGTACTTCCTTCACCGTACCAAAGACTAGTCCATCAAGGACCAGCCCATGACCGCCACTCTGACGTAGAGTGCAGTCGAATGTCGTTATGCCAAGCGACATTCCGGCGGCGTATCAACGCCCCAGAACTAATCAAACGTTCAAGGGGTACCGTACCCCCGTACACCGAGTGTACTACCGGCAGCCCATCACTGCCCTTCACCGGTTTGAGAGAACCACGTCTCTCTGGGCTAAGTTCCGTGGTGCGCACAACCTGCACACCCATCACGAAGGCTTAGCGCTCTTCAGTAGGGCATAGCGCCTCTACTGGTGGCCGGGGAGTCTTCGTCCACCTGACCGTAGCCTGCGCCATTGGTCTTGGGGCCCACGGGCCGTCTTCTTCCCGAAGACTAGCGAGGGACACACACGCTGGTAGTATCCATGTCCGCCGCATCCATAGCAGCGGACCAAGCTCTCGGCTGAGCTTAAGTCCATGGGTTCGGGCTCGCTGTACGCACCGGTATCAACGGGCTGCGTGACAGCAGGAGCAACAGCGTCATTGCTGCGATGCTCCGCCTCCCGAGGAACGCCATTTTTATCGTGGCGATGTTCCTCTTCCCGAGGAGTACCAGCCTGCTTGTGGCTGTACTCTTCTTGGAGGGCGATTCGAATCGCCTCCTCCATAGTTGTCGCTTGCACCCGGAATAGCTGGGTGCGAGCAGGACCGACCTTCAGGCTGTCCATGAAGACTGTTGTCTTAATGTCTTCAGGCAGAGGATTCCCTGCCAGAGATGCCACCAACGTGCGCATCTCTTGCGCGTACTCCTGCAGCTCACGTTTATCCTGCTTACACGCGAGAAAGCGTGAGCGCTGGCGGAACACATTGTTCGCCGGTAGGAACGCGGCTCAAAGCTGCTCTTACAGCTGAGCCCAGGATGCAAAGCATCCAGGAGATGTCGTCTCCCTGGTGTATGCCCAGTGCTTGGCACGTCCACCAAGGTTGGACAGGGCAAACGCCACCCGAGCTGGCTCGTCCGAGATGAGACCCGCCTTCATGGCGATCTCCACCTCACGGACCCAGAAGTGAAGGTTCTCTCCCTTCTACCCCTCAAACGCGGGGACCTTCAGCCATACCGGCTTAGGCCTGGTTGCCTGGGGAGCGGCCATCGAGGCCTCCAAGCTCCCGCGGACGTGAGCGATAAGACCACGCTCGCAGGTCTCAAACGCAGTCGCGCGTTCTTGTTGCTCGGCAGGCGTCGCCGCCGCCAAGCTGCGAAGGACATCTTGTCCAAAGATGCCTCCCATCTTCCGAACAGACTCATACTGTGAGTCGTTCAAGCGAGGAAACTCGCTTCGGTCCATTTTGGCTCAAACGTTGAGCGCACAGAGGATTCAGGTAGTTCAATCTACCCGCGATGGTGCTGGATTGACTACGAGTGCTACCAAGTGTGACGGGGTCACACAGCACCTTGCACAGAGGAAGTGCTTAAGGGTATTAATTACCCGAGTGAACGTAAGTCCACGTGTTCCCGGCCTCAGTGGGAACGGTTTGCTACTTAGAGGAGTAGATTTAAGACTGATGTATTTATAAGCAAGATAAGCTTGGGTCACATACAAACTAGAGGTTACCTTTAGTGGAGCTAATTAGTCATGCACTGACTGGTTCCGAGAGCACCTAGTACCGTGTACCAGGTGTCCTCAAGAGTGACGGGTCACTCTTTATGTAACATAGGGCACACTGGATTGTACCCCGTTACAACTGGACTCTCGTTTCTCCTTTGTTACAACGTCGCACCTGTGGGTACCACTCCACTTGTCCTAGCGTCTCGAAATGCCAAGTTTTGTCGTGAAGGGCTTTGATTCGTCTTAAATGAGTCTGGTCTCATTGGTATTCAGAAGCAGACCATAATTGTAGGAGTTCTGACCAATAATACCGTATTCCTTATGTGATTGGCGACAGTCAAATTCTTGAGGTGGTCCAGCCTTTCTGCCAGCATAAAAGATACCTGCATAAAAAAAACTATATAACATGCTAAAATTATATTGGTCGCCAAGCACATAAAGCGCGACGACACGAAATTTAAATCAATTTGATTGGCTGCTGGATTTGTCGCTAATGACCGAGCGTCGCCAATCACATAAGGAATACGGTAATGCTTTTTTACATAAAGGCCCCTTCATTTCGTCACAACAGTTTGTCTTGTTTTTGAATTACCATCTCTTCTAACTGTAAGAAATTGGACAAGTAGGACAGCACGAAGCTAATCTGCCGCCGGCTGATATGATGCCCCCAGATGATGGGCATCAGGTGGCGAACAGGCGTGATCATTAACTTTGCGCGTACTGTATGCAGTGCTTGGTGGCTTCCCAGTGGCGATGGACCAGCGGGTGATATACTAAGCCTGATATCCTAGGCTGGGAGCGGAGAACGAAGCTAAAGCCTAAGTATTTCTGTGTGGCTTGATGATCCCCCAGTGGCGATGGACCAGCGGGTGAGATATCAAGTCTGAGATCGTATATTTGGACGCATGAGATGCAGCCAAAGTCCATGGTGCTCCAAGGAGAGGCTGTGCAAGCCCTCATCAAGGAGGCAAACAGACAAGGGCGTAGCAGGAGTAGTGCCAGGTATCGATCTCTTTATATTCAATCACTTTGCAATTTACTTTGTCCCTCATACTTGGTCGTGACCGCCGAGGACACAGATCAAAGCTAGCTTTAGTACTAAATGACAAGAAACTCCGCTGTGCAAGCGACCCGCTGAGCAAGCTACGCGTCGACTGTGCAAATCGACCCTTCGTGACTGTGCAAGTCATCTGGTGCCTGAACCGCAATGGCTGGGTTCACCATTCCTGATCAAGACGCCCCGCCACCTGGGCCTGCTGAACAAGCGGCTGTGGAGACTACTGTGGTGGTACCCGGTACCGAAGAAACCGGAACTCCAGCTCCAGCAACCGCTGAGCAAGCTGCAGCTGGAGGAGGATCTATCCGTCGCCCTAGCACTCACGTTGTGAGCAACGCTGGAGGCCCCTTTTCGCTGCCTCGTCGAGAATGTGGCGTTGACTTAGATGTGGACATGGAAGACGTAAGCGGCCGCGTGGACGGTGCAGAACATGAGGCTCAAGTGAGACTACCGCTGAGCAAGCGCGTCCAGACAATGCCCACACTCCCAACCCCTCCGATTTTTCGTGGCTCGACGGCTCAAGAAAAACAAGGCTTCATGAAGAAGTACGAAGCCTATTGCCGGCAGTCGAAACGGCGTTCTTTCGTCCATTCCGAATGCCAGTTGGTGCGTGTGTCGAGGATGAGCGCCGCCGTCTGATCGCTATGCTCGACATCTGTAAACAAATCGACGCGATAACAGAAGCCGATTGGATCAACTACTTATGGGAAGGAAGGATTACGGGCGAACAAGACTTCGACAAGGTCACGATGCTCATGAGCCGCAAGCTGGTGATGGATGTGAGTCTTACCGATGCTGACTCAAAGCTTGCACACGCAATGTACCAAGTGCTCGAGACCGAGAACATGGAGTGGATGGTTGAGAGCGAGCCGAAGAAGATCGTCCATTACCTGATGGATGCCCTGGCCCCAGAGCAGTTCAAGAAGACCGTGAAGAACGAGCTGGCGCGCGAGTCAAACAAGCCCCTGCTGAAGGATGTCGTCGCTTTTATCAAGTGGCTTCGTGCCAGCTGTAAGGAATATCTACGGTGGGAACCCGCTAGCCAGTCCTCTGTCTCGGTGGCGAAGTCGAGCGGGAGGAAGCCCGAGAAGCCCGCCGGAACGTCTCCACGCACCGAAGAGAGCAAGCCGCCTCCTCGCAAGCGGACCTGCTTGAAGTGTGGCAGCGAGGCTCATCGCGCTAAGGACTGTCCCCATGCAGCAGCCGGCGAGGCAGAAGACCTTCTACGTAAATGGAGGGAGGCAAGGCCAGGAAATCCCCCGGTGGAGGCGAAGGTATCCGCCCCTGTACATGCTATCAAAGCGCTTCGCCTCGAAGAAGCTCCGATCGATCCGGGCAGCGCATGCATGGCTAGGGCGGAGAATGTTCTCGACATTCATGATGTCCTGCTGGATTCCGGGGCGGACGTGAATGTGGCGAGCCGGGGTTTGGTTGACCAATTGCTGCGGAGTGGTGCTGCAGTGCGAGAGGCGCAGTGTCCGCCTCGGCAGTTGGCTACGTTTGATGGTAGCTGCTTCGACGTGACGCAACGTGTTATCTTCAATGTGATTCAACTGCGCACGACGGCAGGTCCCTTGCTTCTTCGCAATACGCGGGCATGGGTGTTTGAAGAAGAAAAGAGCAAGTCCGTGCTGGTCCTGTCGAGACCCGTAATGGAGCACCTCGGGTATTCTGTTGAAGTAACCCATCTCCGATGTGATACTGACTATCTAGGGGAATATAATTGTGTCATATCATATAGAGATTTCTTATATAACTGGACTGGTTGGTGGAGAATAACTCCCCTCCAGGACGCCAGACTATCTAAATCACCACTTCCTCTTTTACGAACTCTACCACACAAGCGTCTTCTCCTTCTACATTCAAGACTCCCTCTTCACTATGGCCGCCTAATCCTCTCTACTTTTGTCCTCATTCAGTTCTGTACTGCCCTAACAACTCTGCGCAAATCATTCCTTCAACACGTTATCAGCCCAACGCGTCGCCAGGGTACTGACGAGCTGAAAGCGGTAAGACGATGCGCCTCCAAGCCCCAAGGCTCATGAAGGAGATCGGAGAGAAAATCGCCCGACGGACACCAACTCGCGTGAGGCCACGTTCCCAACTTGGCTCCAGCCACTGAGCTGTAGCACAGCATGCGTAGTTATTCGCCATGCTGGGAGGTCATGAAACCCCCGCGCCAGCCATGGAGCTATAGCGCCGCACGAGACACATACATTCCGTGCCACACCGGCCATTGCCGAGTTGTGAGGCCATGATGCCAGACCAGCCATAGCGCTGTACTATTGCTGCTGGCTGAAAAGCCGTACTAGAAGGCCACAGTGCCTTGTGCTCTACGTACATGTACGCGTACACGTACACGTACACGTACACGTACACGTACACATACACGTACATGCATTTGATGATGTACAAGTACATGTAGTACATATTTAAGGCGAAGAACTAAATACCGCCCTCACGCACCGGCAGCATTGCTGTAGTGTCACGCCATACTGGGAGGCCAAATGCCCCACTTGCGAGCTATAAAGCTGTGCTTAAAATATTCCAGCTACAATGTAACGGGGTACGTAGCACTAAGTGTACCCTGGTTACATGAAGTGTGACACTTCATACTTCAGGAGTATGACATGTCATACTCCGGGATATTTGGTACAAGGTACCAAGGTCATTCAAAACCAACCATTGGTTAAATGACATTGCATTTCTATAGGTAACTGATAGTTTGTATTAACCTCAAACTTAACCTACCTATAAATATACTCAGTTTACAATCTACCTTATTTAGGTCACTTCGCTCTCTTTAATTAAAGAGGGGACCTGTGAACTGCCGTTCACTGAGAGTTTGTATACTCTCGGAAGATAACTTCCTCTAGCGCAAGGTGCTGTGTGACCCCGTCACACTTGGTAGCACTTGTAGTCAATCCACGCCATCGCGGGTAGACTACCTGAACCTCCGAAGTTCGTTGCCATGGATAGGAACGACTTCTCCCATATGAACGACTCTCAGTCGAGTC